CGCACGCATGCCAGGCGAGCGTGCTACCGCTTGAGCCACATCCCCAGCCCTGCATATTTTATTTTTAAAATGTATTTAGTTAATTAATTTTTACTTTATGGTGTTAGGGATTAAATCCAGAGCCTCCAGCATGCTAGGCAAGTGCATTCAGGTCCCTTCGAATACTATAGATCATCTCTAGATTACTTATAATATCAAATACAGTATAAATGCTAGGTAAATTATTGTTATATTTTATTGTTTAGTTAATAATGACAAGAAAGGGCTGGGGTTGTAGCTCAGTGGTAGAGTGTTTGCCTAGCATGTGTGAGGCACTGGGTTTGATTCTCAGTACCACAAATAAGTAAATAAATAAAGGTCAATCAACAACTAAAAAAAATTTAATAAATAACAACAAGAAAAAGAGTCTGTGTTCAAGAGAAACAATTTTGAAAAAAATATTTTTGATTTGTGGTTGTTTGAATCTGTGGATATGGAACCCCTGGATACTGAGACTCAACTACACTAGGCACCTATAAACTGCCTTTGTCCTTAGATAATTAATCATCACATGGGAGAGGCAGAATTTAATCAAATAAGCTAATTTTAAAAACCTGCCAATAATGTATATACTACAAAGGAATAATGCATAATGGGTAACCTGACCTTGTATGAAAGATCATGGAAAGCTCCCTGAAAGGGATGTATGAGGAGTAAAGGATGAATCAAAGATAAATCAACAGAGGGAAAGAGGGGAGAGAGTGTGTTTCAGGGGGAGGGAACAGCAAGAATAAATCTCAAGGTGGGATGGCAGATCTGAAAGAAAGCTACATGTCTCAAATGCAGTGAAGGTCTGGGAGAGTGGCCTAAGATGGATAAGGCTCATTTCATGTCAACAGGGTGGGAGAAGGAGCTGGTGCTCAGGGAGGGCTTATGGAATAGGAGTGGCTATTCTTGGCCCTCTTTTTGGTGCTCAATTAAGAGGCTGTCAAAGGCATACTAAAAATCAGATCCAAACTGAAACCTGTTCTAGGGCAATCCTTAGGATTGCTAATAGATGGTAATGTTATCTTAGGAAAGATCAGTTTCTTACCAAAGAACCACAATACACCTTTCCAAACCTCTCTCCTCTTAGTGCCAGGAATTTAACCCAGGTCTTTTGGCACACTAGGCAAGTGTTCTACCACTTAGCTAAATCTCTGCCCCTCCCCAAAGGGTTTTTAAGGATTGAAAAAAAAGTCAAAGGGGATTTTGAAATCATCTGTTTTCATATGCTTTTTTTTTTTTTTTTTGGTACCAGTTGATTACCAGGGCCCTTTATTGTGGAACCACATCCACAGCCCTTATTATACTCAAGGGTACTTGACCACTGAGACACATCCTTAGTCCTATTTTGTACTTTATTTAGAGACAGGGTCTCACTGAGGTGCTTAGCACCTAACTTTTGCTGAGGCTGGTTTTGAACTTGTGATCCTTCTGTCTCAGCCTCCAGAGCTGCTGGGTTTACAGGCATGCACCACTACACCCAGCTCCTTACTATATTTTATTTTGAGACAAGGTCTTGCTAAGTTGCTTAGGGCCTTGCTAAATTGCTGAGGTTGGCCTTAAACTTGTGATTCTCCTGTCTCAGCCTCTCAAGTCCCTGGGATTACAGGCATGCACCACCACCCCTAGCTATTATCACATGCTTTTGAAGGAAGAATAAATTGGCATATCTCTTTAGTAGGGTAGTTTTAGAATAACAATCAAAATATAAATACATGGCTAAGATTGTGGGTCAGTGGTAGAGTACTTGCCTAACACATGTGAGGCACTGGGTTCACTTCTCAGCACCACATAAAAAAAATAAAGTTATTGGGTCCATCTACAACTAAAAATATTATATATACACACATATACATACATTTATATATATAAAATACACATTTCCTTAGACCTAGCAATGCCATTTTTAGGTGCTCTCATAGAAATACATATTTAAGATGTATAGACAAGGAAGGGTACATACTCCCAACTTATCTGCAGTATCAAAAAGAAAGGCAGAAACAAATATACACCAATATGGGGATCATGAAATAAAGTATATTTATAAGATAGAATATTGTTAAGGCATTTCTTAAAATGTGTTAGAACCAAATGTGCTGCTTATGAGAAAAGAAATTCAGACATATTAAGTAAAAATAGTATGATTCAGAATAGTATGAATAATGAAATCTTTTGAGTTAAAAATTCATATGTTAAGTGGCAATAGGCTTTTGTTAAACATTGTGTTCTATTTTTCTGGACTCCTTATTTATGTTGAGAACTTTCCCTCTCCAGAAGCTAGAAGTTACTGTTACTTCAAAACAGATGAAAAAAGATTTCAAATTACTGGTTCATAGTTGAGGGTGAAATAGCTGACTGATCCAATGCCTCTCCTATAGATACTCAGAGTATTAGAAAGTGAGATATGTAACATACCTAACTGTTGCCTTAGGTACAATCCCACAAAATGAATGTTGGAGCCCATAAATAAGTTTAGGGATCCAAGACTAGAGGGTGCAGTACCTTGCCTGGGACAGAAAGCCCCATAATACTTCTCCATACCACTACCACCTGCAGTACAATATGATAACATAACATAAATATGCCTGCATGGGAGACAAAATAAATAGGCCTTGAGTGGCCATGTGGAAGCAGGCCAATATTTTCCTATGTGCTAAGTAGTGGAGGTAGGGGAGAATCTTAGGGTAGCAACAAGGTACAGCCTAGCAAGATGTATCTTGGTGGATACCAATATATAGGGGTGATCACAACTAAGAAGCAGACTGGCCAAGTGTTCATCTAAATGGGACCCAAAGACCTTGGATCAGATGTTCACTCTTCATCTATGCTTTGGACACACAAGAGAGTACAATCCTTCTAAAGGGAGAATTCCTCACTGTCCTTTTCAATTACTTGGCTCAAGTCAGATGTTTGCTGGAATTTCTCCATCCCCACACAGGCCGTACATACAAACTCCTACTTACCCCTTCTGAAGCAGCTCAAATGTTACCTTTACCTGTGAAGCCTTCTGGTTTCTAATTACTCGACAAACTTTTACTACAGAGTTCAGTCAGAGAAGCAGAGCTATGAGTAACGGAAAATTAAGAATTTATTATAAGAATTATTCCTTGTAACAATTTTGGAAACTGGTAGAGAAATCCATGCAACTACTTAACTTGCATCTGTTGTGGGCCTGAAGTCTCTATAGGTGATACCAACAGTTGGGAAGAAAGATGATGTGAAGTAGAGGAGAAAGGACAAACTGGAATTTGTGAAAACAAATTTTGATCCATGAGGACAACTGGAATTCATCAGGACAAACTGAAACTTGTTACTGTCTCTAAGTTCAGTGACACAGATGACCTGCAGAAGTTGGACCCCCTTGCTTCAAAGCTGAATGCACATGTGACCCAGGATTCAGAGGAGATGAAGGGGGACATTCCATAGGTGCTGAGAAAGCTGCAGGCTTGGATATGTCTTTTGCCAGCAAGGTGAACCAGCAGATCAGTGTTAAAGTGTATGCACAGCCCCTGTGCCTGATACCCAGATTTGTCCTTTAGTGTACTGATTGCTACTTCACTTCAGCTTTCCAAATCTTAATAGATTTGGGACCTTTCCCTATTCCACATCTTTAATATCCTTCTCTCATGGTATTCTAAATGTAACCCCCACCTCCAGTACTACGGATCAAATCCAAAGGTGCTCTACCACTGAGCTACATCCCTAGTCCTTTTTATGTTTATTTTTAAAAAATATTTATTTTTTAGTTGTAGGTGGACACAATATCTTTATTTTTTATTTTTATGTGGTGCTGAGGATTGAACCCGGGACCCCGCGCGTGCCAGGTGAGCACTCTATGGCTGAGCCACATCCCCAGCCCCTTTATTTATTTTTTTAATTGAGACAGGGTCTTGGTAAGTTACACAGGTTAGACTTCAAATTATGATCCTCCTTCCTCAGCCTCTCAGTTTTCCAAATCTTGCACAAAATTTTGTGTTCAATACTGACCTGGAACCAAACAGGAAAGGACTCCTGGGACATGTAGTTCCTACTTAGCTAAAGTGACACAGTACAAAGCAATCATAAGCATACACACCTAGTATGGTAATTCTATGTTGGCAAATCTTCCTCTGGCAAGGAAGAGCCAGACTGAGCTCTGTTTCACTGGGACTCAGCATAGCAGATCTCAACAGATGTTCATTGACTCAACAGAACTTTCTCCCCCACCTCCCACTCAAACAAATGTTTGAGTATGTTCTGGGGCCCTGGGAAATAGCCCAGTGTCTTCCAGAAGAGTACCATTTACATAAAAGTCAATGGCGCTATTGTTGGGGTTTTCTGTTTTTCTGGAGACCAGAGAACTGAAACTGTCCAGGGGTTTGAAAGGAGCCAGCTTTCACACAGACTCCAAGCCCATTCAAACCTCAGGGGGTTAAAGAACATAGCATCCAATATGCAAATATGCCTGCAGCCAGGATTGCAGAGGTGAGAACTCCAGGCTGACAGCAGGCAATTCACACTTCAGAAAAGTGGCAGAACGCCTGAGGTGGTTAGAAAAAATCTGAAAAAAAAAAAAAAAAAAAAAAATCCCTCAATGTCATCAGAAGGTTCCAGAAGCTAAGGAAAAGTGCTCTTGGCTTGATCTATACATGCAATTCACTCACAGCCTAGGAGGTTTGAAACCTAGGTGCCAAAAAAGAATTTACAAATAAATGGCTAAGCTGATGTGTTCCAATGTTTCCATCAAATTAATCAGAGTGCTCTTGTAAGCATAGTTCAACTCCAAAAGCCCCTAGAAGTATACCTTTATTTATTCATTTAGCGGTGCTGCAGATCAAACTCTGGGCCTTGTACACACTAGGCAAGCACTCTACCACTGAGCTACACTCTAGCCCCACTAATATGACTTTAGATAGAAAGAGCTCCCCAAATCCTCCTCCTGATTTGCTTTCCATAGTCTTAAAAGCCCTTGTATAGTGTTTCAATTAAGCATCAATATTGTGTCAGCTATACTATACAAGGTGTTTGTTTGGTATCAGGGATTGAACTCAGGGGCACTCAACTACTGAGCTACATCCCCAACCCTATTTTGTATTTTATTTGGAGACAGGGTCTCACTGGGTCGCTTAGCACCTTGCTTCTGCTGAAGCTGGCTTTGAACTCCCTATCCCCCTGTCTCAACATCAGGAGTTGCTGGGATCATAAAGGCATGTGCCACTGTGCCTATTGTACAAGGTTTTTGACAATTATCATTTCTAATGCCCAAGACAACCCTTCAAGACAAGCATTATTATCTCTTTAAGAGGAAACTGAGATATTAAGAACGGTTAAATACTTGCCCAAGGAAATAGCTGCCCTGTAAATAAATCTGAATCCAAATAAATCTAACTCCAGTCTGTTATTTTTCTCCCATGCCCTTTAAACTACTCTGCTTGCCAAGAAAGAATAGGGCTTAGGGCACAAAAAGCCCTGACAGAGGACATACAAATGATTATAAAAATCACTTCCAGTTTTGAAAATTTCTGAACTTTAATCTCTATTCATCTGGAGGTTGCTTAAGATGCCTAGTTGTAATCTTTTCCATGAAACAGGCTGAAGGTGGGTGAAGCAGTAAACAAAGGTCCTGGTGTCCCAAAAGACTCTGGAGGGGAAAGTGTAGCTTAAGAGCCCTAAAAATGCCTGTCAGGGAAGGGTTTCTATGCCTCTATTGCTCTTTTCTGGGAAGTAGGAACCTAAAACCACATGTTCAAAGCCATACCCAATAGCTTTGGTATTCAAAAGAACCAAGTACTGGGAACACCCTTCATGTTAGCCTCGGACAAGCATATAAACATCTAACTTAGGGCCCTGAATCCGAAAAATTAGTCCAGGCCACTCACCTTGGGGAGGAAGGCCAACTGCCAGCTTACAAGCAACCCATATTATTCAGCTTTTCCTCATTTTCCACATAACTGCTTTCTCTGTAGTTCACCAGTTTCCTTCTTCTCATTTAATAATAATATCCCATCTATCAATAAAGTTCTCTCTTAAAAAGAAAAATCCTAACTACATGAATAAATTTAAACAAAGAAAATATTCCTTCAACTGTACCTTTTTCTGGACATCTACCATTTCCTTCTTCTCAGAGAATAAACTGCTGAGTCATTTTGCGATCTTTGCTATCTGGCTGAGGGAGGAAACAGGAGATTTCACCTGTAATAGCATATTGGCTTCTAGGACGAGGCCAAAGTCAGACAAGGTTGGGACAAAAATTTTTCTAGAGATTTGTTAAGTGGCCTATTAGTGCCATCTGCTGTTCAATTCTAGAAAGCAAATTTGGGGAGTTACAGTATTAGAGCCTGAAGGGATTCCTTCACTCATCTAATGTCTGTTGAACATGTCATATGCCACAGGCAGTGTGACAGGACTGAAGAGTAGATATGAAGCTAGCAAAGAAGGAGCTTTAGGTCCAAGAAGTATACCCCATAAGGATTTCAAGATGGCCAGTTTACCAGCAGAATAAAGGTAGAGGCAAGGGGCACTGCAGGTAAAGGAAGGAGTGTGTAAAGACCCTTAAACACAGATATTCCATTGATAGCTTAGCTTATATTCTGTAGGCAATGAGGTTTTTCAATGGTTTTAGGCAGGGCTGTAATTTGGTCAGATTGACACTTTATAAAAATATTCTCACAGCAAGCAAAGTGAAAAACATTAGAAGAAAAGCCTGGAGGCAAAGAGACTAGCCAATTATGAACCTACTTCAACAGTCCAGTTAAGGTAGAGGCTGTGGGAAGGGGAAAAAAAAGAGGATAAACTGAAGAGATATTTCAAGTAAAATTGAAAAAAAATGTTTCATTGTCTAAGGGAAAGAGATTTAAATATAAATCCAAAGGAAAGGGAAAGAGGTGTTTGGTTTAGGTGATTGTCACTCTTAATCCTGTATTGTAAAACATCAAGCTAAAAACTTCTGTTTTAATGGCACACTCAGCCTTGGATCACTGAGAAATGGATTTTCATATTTTCTGTAAAACAGCTGTTATACACTATGTTGCTCTTTATGGGTAAGGACCAACAAGAAAAAAATTTCTTTAATATAGATACAAAGAAAAGATTTATTTTAAAGAATGGATTTGTGCTGGGTGCAGTGGCACATGCCTCTAATCCCAGTGGCTAGGGAGGTTGTGATAAGAGGCTGTGATACCAGGATCGCAAGTTCAAAGCCAGCCTCAGCACTGGTGAGGCACTAAGCAGCTAAGCAATCAGTGAGACCCTGTCTATAAATAAAATACAAAATAGGGCTGGGGATGTGGCTCAATGGTGGAGTGCCCCCAAGTTCAACTACCAGTGGCTCCCCCGCCAAAAAAAGAATGGATTTGTTTCCTTATTAGTAAGAATTACCTTATTTGCTTAACTGCTTAATTTTGAGCTAAACTGAGTACTCAATTACTAAGTATCACAGGTTGGATACAAGCTGGTTAGTATATTTGTCCCCCGCCCCCATCCCTTTGGTACTGGGAATTAAACCCAGGGGAATCTCTACCACTGAGCTGCATCCCCAGTTTCTAATTTTATTGATTTATTTTTGAGATAGGGTCTTGCTAAGTTGCAGAGAGGGGCCTCAAACATAACTATTCTACTGTCTCAGTCTTCCTAGTGGCTGGGATTACAGAGGTGCACTTGGGCTCCCATCTTTTTTTGTAATTATTGGAAGGATAACAACTACCATTTTTTGAATAGTTACTTCTGGCCAGGCATTGTGCCAAATGCTTTACCTTCTTTATTTCACTTAATCTTTGCCACAACCCACTGAGGCTTTATTGCCATTTTCAATGAAATCCAAATATTTTGATAAAATAGAAACTATAGCTCAGAGATGTGTCTGGGTAGTCATTCAAAAGCAGGCAGGCCCGACTCCCAACATCATTGCACTTTCCTTGTGTTTTCTTTTTAGTGTAGTACTGGGGATCCAACCCAGGACTGAGTGCATATTAGGTAGGTAACTGTCACTGAGCTATATTCCCGGTCCTTTTTAAGACACTGTCTCACTAAAATTGCTGAGGCTGGCTTAGAACTTGTGATCCTTCTACTGTAGCCTTTCTAGTAGCTGGGATTATAGGTGTGTGTCACTGGGCCGGCCCAACATTATAGCTCTTAACCTCTGCTTCCATTTTAGTGTTTTTAAATTGATATTTGAAGGGCTGGAGATATAGTTCAGTTGATGGAGTGCTTGCCTTGCATGAACAAGGCCCTGGGTTTAATCCCCAGCACCTCGAAAAAAAAAATTGATATTTGGATTTCATTCAGCTTATTTTAAGCTGTTCACGACTCTCTCCCCCCGCCCCCCTACCACCGCGGTTATTTTTGTTTTCTTAAGGTAGTGGAACTCTCTTATTTTTTGTTTGTTTTGTTGTTTTGGGAGTACTGTAATTGAACCTGGGGCTTCCCTCATGCTAGGCAAACACTCTACCACTGAGGTACACCCCCAGTGCCACTCCCCAATTTTTCTTTTTTCATTTTCAGACAGGGTCTCCTAAATTGCCCCTGAACTTACATCCTACTACCTCAGCCTCCAGAATGGCTGGATTACACTCGTGCACCACTACTCCGGCTTGACTGACTTTCTCCACTTCTGCTAACATGACCACGATATTCATTCATAAAACGAAGCAATTACAATATAAAATCTCATTTGAAAGCAGGTGAGGTTTAACGGATGACAACAAAGTGAAATTGAGTCCCTGGGTACTGGAAGGAAAACCCGGACCTCGCCTGTCTTTGAGATTCTGATCATGTACCCCTTTTTTGCATGCTGGCAAAAAAGGCTCACAGGCAACTAGTCCTCCCTCCCACCGGTGCAAACAGGTAAACTGAGGCCCTGCGAGCGGTTGAGGTCTGGCCTCCCTACGCCCGCCAGCTCGAAAAAGGCCGTGATCCTTTTGACCTGGCAGCGACATGAGGTTACTCAGCGGCTGATACCCATCGCTCCAAGACCCAGTTTCACTATGGAGAACTAAACCCTCAGAGTTACTCACCCGAAGCAAAAGAGAGGCAGGAAGTGGGTCTTCAACGGAGGCCGGAAGTACACCGGCCAATCAAGACAGCTGCATCGTAGTTCCGTAGCCCTTCAGTATTGGGTAAAAGGAGCTGTGGTCCACCTTTAAGGCGGGTCTCACTGGAAATGTCGCGAGATCTATGTGCAGGCGGGCTGATTGGTCAAAGGACAGAAATTGGGCGTTACGCCCGCTGTTTTCTCAGGTTTCCGATTGGTTTTCTAGAGGAGAAGGCAGTGAGCGGCAACGGGTTCCCTGACTGCCCATTGGTGGGCCGTGCGGGCCTGCGGGTAAGCCGGTGTCAGCGCGGGCGTTCGAACTGGCGTTTGGCGGCGTTGCCATGGGGATGCGGCCTGGCTGCCTCTGGAGGTTGGCGGGTGACCAGACGCTCAGGTCGCTAGCCTTGGAATTCTCACAAGACGGCATCCTTTTCTCCTGTCCTGAGATAGGGCTGACTGACCAGGCGTCAGGAAGCCCCCACGGTGAGAGAATTGGGGAATCGGGGCGGAGAGGCTTGTCGGGAGCCGTGGCGCCTGCCCTGTGGAGAGGGTGCGCCTGACGGCCGCTGGCATTTATGAGGGAACTGGGAGTTGGTTCCTCCTGGTTCTTCTGAACGTTTACCCACTCTTCCTTTCATCCTCATATTTCTACTTTTTCTTTAGCAATGATCTTGAACACCACCTCTCTCATGACGTCTTTCTGAGTTGCACATTCCTCCTGCCTTTGAACCCATACCCAGGAGGGAACCCTTCTTTGGTTCAGTTTATTTGGCTTTAGGTTATTTGTGTACTTTGTTAATCCCAGTGTCCTCCTCTCATAAATTTTTTGAAATCTTTGAGGTAAGGCAAGCTTTTTCACATGTTTTACACGAAGGCTATTTTCAGGAAATGTTTGTTCCGTTGAATTTAATTCATCACATATAGGTCGGATTCCCCCAGTTGGCACCTATCTTATCCATTCAAGAGGTGTCCATGATAGAATTGCATTACCAAGACTGTTTCGTTGTTAGCTCATAACCTAATTCATTCTCATTGCTGATTCAGTATTCAGTTTCCTTGCTCATTATTCTCATAGATCAATGGTGACTTTAATAAAAGGATTGAAAAAGCCAGGTTATAGTAGCTATGTTCTTACTACCCTCTTAGAATTCTAAGTTTGAAAAACTACCCTGTAACTAAACTGCAGATCTGTAAGATGGAATCCAGTGGAAACTGGATTGGGGATTAAGAACTTGGTTTGGGGGGCTGGGGATGTGGCTCAAGTGGTAGCGCACTCGCCTGGCATGCGTTGAGGCCAGGGTTCGATCCTCAGCACCACATACCAACAAAGACGTTGTGTCCGCCAAGAACTAAAAAAAAATAAATAAATATTAAAAATTCTCTCTCTCTCTCCTCTCTTATTCTCTCTTTAAAAAAAAAAAAGAACTTGGTTTTGGCTCTGTCTTTAACTCATTCACTGTAGATGGCTTTGCAAGTCATTTACCCCTTCAGACCTTGCTTTTTTTAACTGGAATAATCGAAGGGTTGGGCTGGGGTTGTGGCTTAGAGGGAGAGTGCTCACCTCGCACTTGTGAAGCACTTGGTTCGATCCTCAGCACCACATAAAAATAATATAAAGGTATTATATATAAAAAAAGAAAAATCTAAGGGCTGAATTAGATTAGAACTCATGTGACTATCAATTATCTCTCACACTCCTGGCCTTCCAAAGACCATCCTGATTTCTTTTAGCAGCTAAAAGTAGTCACTACCATTTATAGAGCATTTATCTTGTGAGAATTACATTTTTCTTAGTATAGCATATAAATATGTCACCCAGATAGCATTTCATTAAAAACTTTTATGTTGTTAATGAAAATTAATGATTTGTTAATGAAAATTAATGAAATTTATAATTTGTGAAGAGTAGACTTCAGGAAGTTTTGCTAAATGAGTGATAGAGCCATGTGCTGTGACATGTGCCTTTAGTCCCAGTTACTTGGGAGGCTGAGGTCAGAGGATCATAAGAGTTTGAGGCCTGCCTATGCAGTATAACAAGATCTCATACCTTTTTGAGGGAAAAATAAAAAATAAAGAGTTATATAAGTTTTACTTGTTATACTTTGAGTGTCATGGTCACTGTAAACTTTCTGAGTTACTGTCTCAGGGGTTTTGATGTTTGTGTCCTGTTCAACAAGACAACTTTTCCATTTGATTATAAGTGAATTACAATGGATACCATATATTGTTGAGTTTTTATCATATACTGAATGTAGCACTTAATTTGCATTATTCTATGTAATCTTTTTAAAAAATATTTTTAGTTGTTGATGGACCTATATTCTTTATATGTAATGCTGAGAATCGAACTCAGTGCCTCACACATGCTAGGCAAGCGCTCTACTACTGGGCTGTAGTCCCAGCCCTCCTTGTTTTTTTTTTTTTTCAGAGTAGAAATTAGAAGTTTATTAAAGGACAGCAGAAAAGACTTCTCCCGGAGGAAGAAGGGGACCCAGGAGGTGGAATCCTCCCAGCCCTCCTTGTAATCTTCGGAAGCAAACATCTAAGTCACCATCATTTTCTTTTTTTTTTTTGCTTCCTAAATAATCTCCTTCCTTCCATTTTTGCCCACCCCCTGCAGCACATTCACTGAATTGGTCCAGTAATTTTTAAAGATATATATCAGATTCTATCTCTTCGCTTGCTTAAAGTCTTCCAATGAATTTCTGCTTTCCTTAAAAATAAAATGTAGACACCTTTACATGTCCCTAATCTGAACCCAACCTTTCTGACTTCATCTCTCACCTACTATGCTCACCAGCATGTACTTCTGTTGATTACTTTATCATGCTGAGCTCATTTCCACCCTAGAATTTACATACTCTCCTGGAATGCTTTTCCTCCTGATCTTTACTCATTTATACTATTTCAGGTTTCACCTCCATGTTCCTTCTGAATGAGACCTTTTGATCATTCAATGTAAGTTAGGCCTTTTATTTTCTTTTTTTTTTTTTAATTGTACCTATGACTCTCTGAAATTACTCCGTTTATGTGATTGTTATCTCCTCACACTAAGATAATAGTGCCATGAGGGCAGTGACAGTTCCTTTGTTTTGTTCACTGTCCATTGTCCAGAACAGGGCCAAGCTCATAAAAGCTTCTCAAAACATATTTCTTGAATGACAGGATAAAAGTTCTTGTTGGAACTATGACCATATCTGTGTCCCTAATAATTCATTGAAGCAATAACTTCATTTTGTTGGCAGGAGCAGTGAGTTAGGGTACCACTAACTCTGCCAAAGTTTTGCTAAGTAATCACATTAACCTCATAAACAAGTTTTTATCACCCTGATTACTACTAGTATCAAATGCTTTTGTAGAGTTTTAAATATAGTGTTAGGAATATTTGCTTTTGAAGCAATTATTGAATGTTTATTATTTTTAGGTACAGTTTAGATACTGGGGATAAAACATTCCTTGACCACAAAAAAATCATATTCTATTGGAGCACATAGAAATGTTCATAGATAATTGTTACAAAATGTAACTAATGATGGAGATTATTAAAATATAATGTGAAGCCAGGTGTGGTGTTGCTTGCCTGTAATCCCAGTGGCTCAGAAGGCTAAGGCAGAAGGATCACAAGTTCAAAGCTGCCTCAGCAAAAACAAGGCACTAAGCAGCTCAGTCTCTAAATAAACCCTAGACCCTGTCTCTAAATAAAATACAAAATAGGGCTGGGGATGTGGCTCACTGATTGAGTGCCCTGAGTTCAATCCATGGTACTCTCCCGCCTGAAAAAAAAAGATACAATGCAAACACAGAAAGGGCATCTGATCACATCTGGGAATTCAGAAAATACCTCATTTGTATTTTTATCACTAAGAAGTAAAGTAAGACTTGATGAAAGTGGAAGAAGGCTATTTAAGAGCCCATGAACAATTACATAGAGAAATAAAGCTGTTCAAAGGGTTGAGTAAACTGGAGAGAGAGGAAGGGGCATGATTATAGAAGACTTGGGACATGCCAAAGAGCTTGGATTTTGCCTTGTATAGAGATGATAAAATGGTTAAGATGCCACTGAGAAGTTTTAAATAAGGGAGCAGCATGACTATATTGTACTTTTGAAAGAGTGATCTGGCTCAGTAGCCTAAAAGGGGCAAAACAGGAAGTAAGGAGAGAAGTTAAGGCATAATGATCTAGGTGACAGCAGTAGTGGCTGAATTACTTAGGCAGTGGTGGCGGGAATGAGAATAGGAGAGGGGAAATTTGACAGATGATTAAATTGGATGAATCAATTGATTGGATTTGGGGTTAAAGGAGAGGAGGGTATCTAGGATGCTTTATAGTTTTCTCTGAGTGACCTCATGAATGGTGCTATCATCTAATCACCGAAAGAGAAAGGTATAGGAGCAGAGTTTTATCAGGAGGTAATGAGTTCACAAGTATCTGATTTTTTTTATTAGTTGTTGATGGATATTCATTATTTATTTATTATGTGGTGCTGAGGATTGAACCCAGTGCCTCACACATGCCAGGCTCTACCACTGAGCCATAACTCCAGCAAAGTTCAGATTCTTAATCCTGGTACTCTTTTAACTTTTTTGTTTTGTTTTGTTTTGTTTTGTTTTCTTTAGTGCAGGGGTCCAAACTCAAGGCCTCATAAATGCTAGGAAAGCTCTCTACCACTAAGGTATATTCCCATCCCCATGAGACATTAATGATTCCTACAATTCTACATGTGTTTTTTTCTTTTTTTTTTTTTTTTGTAGTTGTAGATGGACAGAATGCCTTTATTTTTTATGTGGTGCTAAGGTTTGAACCCAGTGCCTCATACATGCTAGGCAAGCGCTGTGCCACTGAGCTACAGCTACAGCCACCTACATGTTTTTTTTTTTTGTTTTTTTAAAAATATTTATTTTTTAGTTTTCAGCAGACACAACATCTTTGTTTGTATGTGGTGCTGAGGATCGAACTGGGCTGCGCGCATGCCAGGCGAGCGCGCATGCCAGGCGAGCGCGCTACCGCTTGAGCCACATCCTCAGCCCACCTACATGTTTTTTTAACAAGATATTTCTATGAGACCGTTTTACTGTGAAGAAAACTTAAGTTACGCTG